GAAACATGGGACTTGAATTTGAAGGCCATTCATTGGCTTTTGACTCAAATAAAAAATAAACACAAATAAATTTAAAACTTTCATTTTTCCTGAAAATGTAGGCACACACAAAAATCAAAACTTAGTCTATGAGAATGAAAATCAGAGAGATATTGAAGATACTTGGGCTCTCCTGGATTGGGTTACTAATAATGGATACGAATAGTGAAACTGGAGAGAGTGCACTTACAATGAGAGTTAGTATGAGGTGTTTCGGGAATGTGTTGACCTCCAAGAACTAATGGAGTATCTGGGAGGCGATGTTCAGTGCACATCAGAGAACCGAGTCTAGGAGCTGGGTGGTGGCGTAGAGTGCTACCACTGAAGGAACGACCACCAAATCCAGATTAAGTTTAAAGAGAGTCTTTATTAGCTGGCTAGCGACTACAGTCTGAGGCTGGGGGAAGGGGACGGCAAGGACTGAGAGTCAGAACTGTAGCCCCCGACTGAAGTTTGAGTAGTCTTTTACCAGGGGTTTCTATGCAAGCAGTTACATTGTTAAACAAAAGGGTTTCTGGGTAATTAGCAAAGACAGTAACAGGTACAGCTATTTTCTCATGGGAAGAGCAAGCAGGTTTACAGAAGCAGATACCCATGTTATGGTAAGGGAACAAAATGGACAAACAGTTGTTCATGTGCAAGATCCTATATGCAGCCTTCCACAGGTGGCAGGTTTTCCTGCATCTCTTTTGGGAAACTCATCAGGGCAGAAATCCCTTGGAGACATAGGGCTGAGCAGTGTGAGAGAGGTAAAGCACAGCAGAAAGAATCCTGTCCTAGAGTCAGGGGGATCTGACTCACTGAGCAGTCGTAGGTAGGATTCTTTCCATTTCAGGGCTTCCCCTTATTTTTTTGTTTCAAATAAATTAGAAGTTTTCAAATTGATTTATATGGAACCCTGTAGGGTGTGATGGAAATGGAGTTACTCTGGAACCCTGTCTAGTTTCTATTTAAGTGACTGCCTTTCTGTTTCATTTATTGTTTCCTCATACAATTACAATTGGGGAAACAAAGCTGTATTTCTTCATTAAACTACAACAAAGAGCTTGAAACCCACAGATCGCTGTAGGAGCCCGTGTTCTTACTTCTGTTCCCCACTTACAGCATGTTCAGTCTGATCAGGACCTACTTTGTGACTTGGGAAGGAGACTATTTATCCCATTCAGAAAGGACTCTGGAGAGCATTTCAGCTTCGGACACACAGTTCAAATGCTGATGAACATGAAATATGTGAAGTGCATGTGCTCAAATTCTAAAATGGCTTAAAGTCAAATGATAAAATATTACTGAGAAAAGAAAGCGATATTGGAAAATGAAAAGTGAGAGATACACATTACAAAGATTTGGAAACAAATGCAATCAGGTATTATAATATAAGATCTAAAGTTGGAAAATGGATTTGGGTCAAGATTGTATCACTTAGTATCTATCTGCTTGAAGAAATTTCCTTAACTCCTTAATATCTGTTTTTCCTTTGTGAAGTAGAGACAGTAACTATTCTAATATGAGCTGATGTTAGGACCATGAGAAATAGTATGGGTTAAAGTGGTAACTGATTGTAAATCACTGGGGTTGTTATAGAAAAAGGATTAAAGTAAGCTGCAAATAGCTGTTGTATGGACAGACAAAATCTTGTAGCTATAAGTATGAGTAATGTATTAAACAATGTCATGATCACAACCTTAAGAAAATAGAAAATACTGTAAAATCAGAATTTCCATTATAAATCTCTATTGTAATTTTTTTATTATAATTTATTTTTTATTATAATTTCTTTTTTTCCATCACAACACACAAATGAATTTTCCATCTAAAATACACTGTGCATTGGCTCAATCAAGCACATCAACATACATGTTCTCAGCAAATAATTTCCCAATTCTTATGTCCTGCATACCTTGCCTTTTGTTTTGCTATCCTTGATTCCCCATCCCCCACCCTCTGCTATGACCCATCCTCCTCCCACATTGTCCCTGGCATCCATGGTTGCCCTCCATGCCTCCCTCCTCCCCATTCAAATGATCTGCCAGTGAACTTAATTAGTCTAAATATATCCAATAGTTATCGCAGCTGACACATACCTATACATGAACTCAAGTCTGACTTTAGGCATAAACCCCAGTGAATAGAAAGAGCATACTATAAAGTAGAACCCAGCTGGGCCCATACAGCTCACTGCAGTCATCAAATATGCAGTTTTTTAAAAAAAAAAATGGTACGAATAGTTTTACCTTTTTTTTTTCTCCTGCAACTTTTCTTTTTCTTTTTTTTTTGTTACCTAACATTCATTCCCTGAGCATCATCACAACGTACTAA